TCTATATCCAAAATGAGACAAGAACTCAAATCTTTGCCGGCCTTGTCTCTCTTGGCAAAAGTCGATCGTAGCTCGGGGACAATGAAAGAAATCACCCTCCTCCTTCAAGCGGACAATATCTTGTATTGCAAATCTGTTGCGAAGCAGGAAAAGAATAGCCGAGGGATGCGCAACAGCCATCAAAAATTTCCAGGATAGTACCACGTGGGTCTGCCTTCCACACATCGGATCGATTTGCCGTAGACCCTGGCCAAACAGAATGACATTTGTTCCTCAACTTCGTAGTCAGAAACGCATTGTGTATGACCACGGTGGATAACCACCTGGCTCCATTGCTCTTTGATAGAAACTTGTCCGGATCGTACCGATTTGTCTATTTCTTCCGCTTTGAGAAGGAATACTGATCAGTTCACCAGCAGCGCTTGCCCGTTACTAGGTACATTGTGATTGAGTCTCGACTATCACTGGTACGTTTCTCATGCTTGGTTCGGCCACTAGCACCGACGACTTTGGTAGAGCCGTCAGGGCAAGCAATGAAGCATGTTTCGTCTCCTCCGGTGATGAAATGATCCATTACCTCACCAAAGGATTTCCCGGTCACATTACAGCGGCCTTGGTTCCTCTTACAAGTTCTTCAAAGCAACCATCAACGGCTTGTGCCAACCGGAACTGTTGCGTGATGCATCATTAATATGGTTCTTTTTGTAGTCGGCTTGAGCACAACCGTCTTGGCTTGATGATGCAGGATACAGTACTTCAACATAAAGTACGGTAGGCGGGGGCGCAAATTAGTCTCCCGAAGCCTGCTTGCGAAGTGAGGTTGGGAGCAACGTCTTGGATCATGTCTAGGCACTCTCTAGCGGAGGCTCCATCATTGCCTCTATCCATCCTGGCTGCAACTGCAACAAACACTGATCCTTTTTCGATATACGGGCGTTTCCTTGCCATGGAATTGCGTCTTCGCTTGATTCGTCTTACCAGACATGAGATCTTGAACGTATTGTAGAAGGAATCACCAACTATTTGGGAAATTGAGCAATAGAGAACGGTTGGCCTCTCCCCATTGGAATCCAAGGCCTTCCACCTCCTTTGAGCCCTGCCATTCTTAGTGCAGAGTCAAACTGCGCGCTCAGTGTTCTATGGGTCCAGACGCAATGCATGCGCCATTCCTCCCTTTTGGCGCGCATCAACTTTGCGCAGCAACAGAGAGCCTCTTACCGATGTTCTTCTTCTGTTGTCTTTCTCCTTCTCCGTGGTGGATTTGAATTTGGTTGATCCCTTGGGACGGCCAACCCCTCTCTTCACAGAACCTCATCGCAGAGTCGATCTCTTTGGTGCTGGGCCTGCCGCGTCTCCTTTTCTGCTTGAAGAAGTCCGTAACGTTAGCCTGCTTGTAATGGTCAACGTACTTGATCTGGAAGTCCCTATCATGATCGTAATCCTCTTCGTAATCCTCTTCATCAATGCCATCGTCTTCTTCGTCAATGCCGTCTTCTTCGTCAATGCCGTCTTCTTCGTCAATGCCATCGTCTTCTTCGTCAATGCCTTCGTCAATGCCATCGTCAGTGCTGTCGGAAACGGCCATCTTGAGAGGAACGAGTGTCGGTAGACGAGTGTCGGTAGACGAGTGTCGGTAGACGAGTGTCGGTAGACGAACGATAAACGATAAAAGAAGGAGTGTCGATAGAGGTGCTTCGATAGAGGTGCTTTATGCATGTGCGAAGAGACGATAGACGATAGAGGTGCGAAGAGACGATAGACGATAGAGGTGCGAGTATCTTTCGTGCGAAAGATACGGCCGACACTCGATAGAGGTGCGGCACGGAGTTTCACTGGATATTTCACTCGATAGAGGTGCGTACGTAGGATCCTACGTAGATTCAGTACTAGAACACGACTGACGTCATTCGGTCTTAATCTGCAGAGAAAAAGAATTCGTGTCAGTTGGGTGGATATCTTCAACCGCCCGTAACTCCACCAATAAGTACACTATGAGGCTGCGAGATTTATGGCATACTCAACTACATGTGTTCTATCGATTCCCCTCTTTACATGTACTATATTCGATATACAGCCCTGAAGATAATATTGCGCAAAACGGTGGGTCTTAAAGGCCAGATCACTCTATTGAAGTCGATAGCTCTAAGGGTTTAACTGGAGGTTAGAAACAATTATGAGCTATTGGCTTTGGTGGTTTCTGTCCCCGAACGGCGGTTAGCATTGGTAATTGCCGTTAGAGGATCTGCTGGATCTACATCTAAGTAGCGGTCCCGCGAGCCGGGCAGTCATACTGGTTGGCTTCGTGGGACGTGCTTCTGGTGGATATAAGGGTCAATGTCGCAGTGGGACTGGGACTTTAACAACAGATACTACGATGCAGTAGGCATTGATCACATTATCCTGCAACAGTGTCATGATAAAATATGAAAAGCGTGGGTAGAGACATCAACAGCAGCAGAGCACAAATAATTTAGACTCATAGATGCTGGCGCAGCAATGGTTTGTGTGGATGTGGTGATGAGATGAGAGTGGTTGCTGTTGTTGTCGTTCCAGACAATTACAGTAATTGATCCAGGGATGAAGATCTCATCAAACAGCCATCCAGTTGCAAAAAGGATTCTGTGGCATCGCAAAAAAGTGTCGTCAGTCCTTTGAAGTGCATCTCCACGTTCCATTTTTCCACGGCGAGAAATAACAATAATAGTGCAGTGATCCAGACACGGAATTCTAGCTACTGGTAGCTAGTTAGCTACGGTACTGTAGTCAATAGCCGTGCAAGCGAAACCAAACGCAAGAACCAACAACATTGCCAGCAAAAAAGCATCCGGCAAGTAGAGGTTGGTCAAGGTAACACTGTGGTATACGTCTACTAGCTAGCTAGGTATCAACAAGGTCAGGCTGTTGGCTGCCAAAGAAAATTGACCAGGAGTGTAAAACCATTTCTCATTTAAAAAAGCAAGAGATTGATTGATTGAAGAGTTAGTCTAGCTAGTTGCAAGGAAGAGGATACCCCTGTGCTTATTACAGAATTCAGAACAGCCAAACTAACGTCCACCAAAATGAGCACCAGTAGTGTTGGTAGTCCCCTGATGATCGAGGATTCGACGTCGCAACCGCTTCTGTCATTGTCCGAGCATGACGAATCCATGAGTGTTGTCAAGATGGATCCGCTTACCGCCAAGCGATGGACCGCCGTTGCATCCATTGGTGTGTGTGTCTTTTTGGCATTCCCCATTTTTGGGGCGGTTGGAACGACCAATAATCATTCCGAGCATCACGCGGAGAGTCGCCTGGTTTCCAGAACCAGTCCAACTTTGACAACGACATTATTGCCAAGAAAGGAAATACGTTTGCAAGACAATGACGACGCCGCACTGGATATTTCCGTAATTGGAGATCCCATCAATGTGTGGAGATCACCGGATAGCTATCATCGCTGTCATCAGATTGATGTCCCGGATATCCCCACCCGCGCGTTTGCGGAAACCAACAACAATCACCAACACAACAAAATTCACATGATTCAAGGATCCACCGAGTATCACATCATGACCGGGTCGTCGCTGTTGGATGTCAAACGAAACTGCGACATTGCATTTAATAAAACGGCCAATCCCGATCCCTCCCAATTTGCCGCCAATGAATTCTTGGATTCTCCCGTCGCATTTCCAAATAATAATGGCACCGTGGTGGCCATTTCTCACACGGAATTCCCGGGCAACCGGTACGATCAGTGTCCACTCCCGAAAGCATATCCGCATTGTTGGACGGTTACCATGGGACTCATGATATCCCACGATTTTGGACGCACGTGGGCACATGCTCGTCCACCACCGCATCATTTGGTGGCGGCCGTGCCGTACCAATACAATGCCACGCAACTGGCATCTGGATGGGGCGATCCCAGTAATATCCTACGGTCGCCGTTAAACGATGGATACTATTACATGGCGGCATGGAATCGAAATACAGTGGGATTGCAATCGGCCGGTGTTTGTATGATGCGGACCAAGACGTTGATGGATCCGTCGTCGTGGCGGGGATGGAATGGACACGATTATAGCGTGTCGTTTGTGTCGCCCTATGTGTCATGGCGGGGATGGAATGGAATTGATTATGCCGAGTCCTTTGTGTCGCCCTATCCATCTCCAAAGGACGATGAGTTTGATCCCGCCCATCATATTTGTACCGTTCTGGACGTGGATACGTCCCAATTGGATCCGACTCAGTGCAATCCGTTTGGACTCGTCTGGAGTCCCTCCTTGGAATTGTTCCTCCTGACGTGGGGATGTTTGAACGGATACGGTCCCTTCTATGTGACGACCAGTACCGATTTGATTCATTGGTCCGCCCCGCAACACTTGTACGACAAATCCATGTTGCCATTGGGAGTAGCAAAAAATGTCACGAGTATGCACTATCCCAATTTGATGGATGTCGCGGCACCGGATCAATTCGGGGATGCCAATTACAATACCATTGGTGCCACGCCGCACTTGTTTTGGGTATCCTTTGGCCACAATGTGTATGCGGATGGAAGAAGTGCCTGGGCCACGCCATTGCGGATGGTTAAGCGACAAGACGACACGCAAGAAGAAACATCGTCAACGACTTGAGCAAGAGCCAGGTAACCGGTATTCCAACTGCTACCTACCGTACCGTAGAGAAACGGTACGTGTTTTGCGCCCTCCCCGAATGTCAGAAGTGACGGGGCTGCTCCATTTCATATTACCAACGAAGAGCAAAACAACCTCGCCCATAGCTATATTGCTACACCGTACAAGTTAGAGGGGGTCCTAGCTAGCTACTACAATCAAGAGGAGAGGAGCGGATACAATCATTTTGCATAGTATGAACATTTTTCTATTTTTTTGTTTTGTTTTGTTGGGTGGGTGGGTCCCCCGTACATGCGTCAACTGTGGATTGATTGATTGGATGGAATTACCTAGCTAGCTAGATACTCATTTCAGCACCTTCATAGATTGTCGGGAGATATGCATAATGCATTTGCCTACTAGCCAGAGCAAGCTTGTTGTATGTAGAACTCATTTATTAAGGAGCCACTTCATCCTCGTCTGATTTTTGTACGGGCTCTGCCTTTTTGAGACCCAAAAAGCCCATGACATCCACATTGTCTACTCCGGCTTCGGGACGCATTTCGGGGACATCCAAGTCACCCATGTCACAGTCCTGTACAAGAATACACAAGGAAAAGGACGTAAGGAACAATGACCACACGAACTTGTTGTTACAACATGTAACTAACCTCATCCAATCCTTTTGCACAAGGCATGGATTTGATCCACTTTCCAGCCACAAAGGAAGCCGAATAGACACTGCTCATGGCACAGTCCTCATCGTACAAGTCTTGCCAGCAGGGGTCTTCCGTGGTTTCCGGAACTGACTGCAGCACACTGGACGGGTGTTGTTGTTGCCGTTGTTGAGGACCCAAAAAGGCATCCACCGACACACAGAGCCATAGAACTGCAGCAATAGTAGTAGTAGATCGCAGCATCATCATTGTCTAGAACGAATTGATTTGGGTTGATTTAGAAATTCTGATTGCAAAGACAAGAGGTGAGAGGCCTTCTAAAAGGGACATCTTGATCGCAGCTGATCGAAGAACCGAAAGAAAGATCAACGTGTCACAAAAGATCGGTGATGCACGCATCGTCGTAGTTAAGTCCAAAAGGGTTTGGGCTAGTTCTCAACGCGAGAGATAGCACACGGAACCGCATCTGAAATCCCTTGCGCATTGGAGCACTCAACGAGCTGGCCACAAGTCTAGCTAGCTACTTGTTGGCTACCAGGAGCCAGATAAACCTGGAGTGGGGCCTCGAGATGCAGAAGCATTAGTAGGTCCTGGAGTGGGGCCTGGAGATGAACCAGAAGTGGGACCTAGAGTGGGATTGGCTAGGAGATGGACCAGAAGCGGGGCCTGGAGATTGCTCTAGCTAGCAGCGAGAACATATTCCTAAGCAGGTCAAACTCACATAGCAGCCAGACCTACTAAAAGGCCCCTTGGGACAGAGCGGCCGCGCCAGGATTAAGCTACCGGTACCGTACGACACACCGGCAACGTAACCCAGCACGGGGACAACGAAAGGACGCAAAAACTTCCGAAAGGGATTCATCAAACTCAGGATATCGAACCCGTCCGTCTTCTTCTATCACACACATGCTTTCAAGTTGTTGATTCGATTCTGGCAATGATATCTCTTTCGAGCGCAAGAGGCAAGATGTAGAGATCAGCATTCGTGACGGCGCCGGGTTGAGAACTTTTTTGTGTCATTTGCTGGACTCTAGACTGGATTTCTTTCCCATCAGACTCAGATGATTGTTGGGTTCTCCATCCACGTCGAAAGAAACGTGATTGCCCTAATTCTCTCGTTGAACGTGTTGCTCTCCGGGTTGTTCCCGATCGAAATTTCCTTTGTTCCATGCAACATTTAATGTATTACGTACACTTTCACTACCCAGGGTTTGTTTGTGCAGTACTTTGTTACCCAAGTGCTACCCGTCCCGTCACCATCCCCAGGGTGCTCCAATCCATTTTGTTTCCATTCAGTTCAATTCAATTTGATTCCTCGTTACCCACGCCATTTTCGAAAACAACCAGCCACCATTCCTTTCGATTTAACCTGCGCATTCGTTGTTGTTGTTATTGTGGTGGTGATGTGTGATCGTTCCTTCGATATCGTCATTTCCAGTGTCATCAGCATTCATTGATTGTGCGTATTGTTTGTATTGTTTACTCCGTTCATGCATGCATTCACGTAAATGGATCCGCCGGCATTGGAAATCCATCATCGTCCGCTCCCATCATGGGAAACCCATCATTGTCGGCTTTCATGGACGGGAATCCATCAGTGTCCGTCTGCATGGCGGGAAATCCATCGTCATCGGCCGGCATGGGTGGAAATCCGTCATCGTCGGCTGGCATGGATGGAAATCCATGATCCTCAAAATCATCATTGTCATCATCATTGTCATTATTGTCATCATCATTGTTGTTGTTTTTGTGATTTTTCTTCTTGCGAGGAGACGCCGGATCCGCAAAGGAATCATTGGATTCGGAGACATCTTGATCTCGCACGGGTGACAATCGTTTGTGACGGGAATGTCGCGAATGACTGGACCCACGATCCTCCAGCAGCGATCGTCGACTGGGACTCTTTTTGCCACTTACGGTAAGAGCTCTGTTACTTCCTGCTCGTTTCATGGTACGCGAGGATTTTTCTTTGGACAAGGTTCTTTGGACGGGTGTCTTAACCGGAGCATTTTCGTTGTTACTACCACCACCACGACGCCACGTGCTTTCAGGAACCGATCTCTTGGATCGGGTACTCCCTTGACTGGCCGTAGACCGTTCCGATCGAGATCCTCTCCTTGGTTTGGATTTGTGATGATGTTCCTCGTCGTGTTTTCGTCTATGTTCTCCTCCCCCACCACTACTACTGCTACTTGGCTTTGACGGTCCTCGACTCCAACTCGTATGCTCGACATGTTGTTCCGGGGCACTGGTTGATTTTTTGCGCAACCGTTTGCGAGGATCTTCGCTTTTTTGTGATGGGTTCTTTTTGTGATGGGTTCGTCGATGATTGCTGCCACTTCCCATGGAGTGATCCCCACTGGCCGTCCGTCGATGACCGCTCTTTGGTGGTTGTTCCGACGACCCTTCGGATGACACGGACCGTGCTCCTCCGGCGATCCGTCGCGCCGCGGTAGTATCAATGGCCGACAATCGTCGTACACTTTGTCGTCGACTGGATCCCGACAAGAGCGCCCGCCGATCGGGCAATTTATGATTGTTGGGTTGTGTTCTGGACGATGATGATGCACCTGTAACGGTAAGACGACGACTGGAACGTCCCGTGGAAGGGTTTCCATCGTGCGATAGTGTACGACGAATGGTACTCTTGCGACGATCGCCGCCGCCGCCTTTGATGGGAGACGAACCGTCGCTGGAATGTGCCCGTCGGACAGTGCCGCGTCGAGGGGGTGATTGTGCTCTAGTCGTGTGGCCATTGGCAATGGATGCTCTTCGACCAGCACCACCTCCCGCCATGCGTCCCTGTGCCGTGGACGCTCGTCGTAACGCAGGACCACCCCGATGTGGCGGTGGTCCTCGACTGGAATGTTGGGGTAATTCTTCCACCACGTCTTCTGTATAGCAATCGTCTTCTTCTTCTTCGTCAATCTCGTCTTCGATGCCTCCTCCCAATACTTTGGAAACGATTTCAGCGGAAAACATGGCTTCCAATACGGATCGATCCGTGCCTTCGGCGGCCAACTCTAGAATGGCATTCTCATCTTGTTCGGAAACAGCTTGTTCTTCTTTGAGTGCAGTTTGTCGTTTGAATGCCTTTTGGAGTAAATCGCTGGTGGACGGTGGGGCATCATCGGCGGCTTCGGCATGCGCTGCATTTTGCAATTGTTGTTGTTCCGCCAACAGTTTGGCGCGCAATTCCATTTGTTCGTGAAACGTGTCTTCACTAAAGTAGGCGCAATTTTTGTACTTCGATTCCACAAATGCTTTCGATGCCAATTGACCAATGTGTTTGTCCGTGTGTTTCCCCTCCAATGCCGACTGATAAATCGCATTCACTACCGCATTGCCACTCTTTTCCAATGTCACAATGTCTTCTTCGGTCCCTACAAAAACACAAATCAAGTAGAAAACAGAATGAAAAAGTAAGAAAACAGTCAAGTCTTTCCATCCATTTTTTTGATCAATTTTTCTTTTTTCTTTTTCTTCTTCCACTCACACTCTTCTGGTACTTTGAGACTCTTGAGAATACAGAGTTCTTCCCCCAGTGCCGCATGGTACTCTTGACAATCACTGCAGCACAAGACCCCCAATTTTCGTCGATCGGCATCAATGGGTGCTTGTAGTAAGGACATCCATTTGGGTTTTTTCGATTTGCATTCCGAGCACACCTTGTTGGTTGGTTCTTTCAAAATCACCTTCATGCGCTTTTGAAGACTCTTCATCAACGCGGGGTCTATGCTAGTTGTTGTCGGAGGCTGTGTCGAAGCGTCCGTGGCGGCGGTGGCATCTTCGTCCCCGCCGCCTTCGACCGCACAGGTATCGTAGGATTTCTTTCGTAACTTCATTATTATTGTTTGATTGTCTTGTCTCTCTACACAGAATGAAGTATGGACTTGGCTATGAAGATGGTGATCAGTGGTTGTTTGCTGCCTTTCCAATTCAGTCTGCTTGCCTTGCAGACAACCACTTGTGTGCTTCTAGCATTCAGAAGACCAAGCTAGCTAGCTGGGTGCGTGAGCTTACTTCTTTTTGACTTTCCTTACTTCTTTTTCCACCACCGTAATTTCTGTTGGCGATCCCAAGAATCGCTTGGTCATTGCTGAGACCCTTATTTCGTGGTCACTTAGAGGAGTTGTTCTGTCACAGTGACTCTCGAAAGTTGAGCTCGCTCGAATCGATGACTCACTCTTTGAAGAAGAACAAGGGCGCGGCAACTGAGAATAGAATAGTCTACTTCGATGCCTCCAGTCGAATAATATTCGAGTCTGATGATCGCCGAATAGATCCAATCATCATTCTCTCCTCCCCCTTCTCTTCCATTCCTCCCCGTTTCCATGCTCCTTCCCGTCGTTGAGGTTCATCGTTACAGCAAGAACTATTTATTCATCGGACATGACATTGTATGTACTGTATGTGTGTTGCTACATACATGTCATTGTAGAAGACGACCGGCTACGAAACAAAATAATGCTCTGCCCTAGTAGTAGCATGTACCTGTGGGTCCTCTTGATGAGCGACTTGCACTCCAAAATCCATTGGACTCTTAGAATTGCTTGCTGGATACAGTCATGTACGACATAACTGGAGCTAGTAGCCAGCAGCTATTAAAAAGCAAACACTAATAAACAACAGGTATTAATAGCAACAGTACAAAATAGCTGCATCCAAGTGGGGCGCACCTCTGGACTTGCTTCCTGATGAATGAACCTCCACGGAGGCACTGCTTCGTCAGCCAGAAGCCAATTCAGCCACGGCTGGTAACCAGATAGATGTCACCAGAATAAACCTTCAAGCAATCGAAGCCATGGAAGCGATTCTCATCTGGATGTTGCTTGCATAGTAGCCGCTTGCTCTGGCTGGTACAAAGGTAGTAGAAGCCTTTATTACAAGTCTGCTGGCCACTAGCTAGCTAGCTAGACGAGACACAACTCTACTCATCCACCACGGCAGCATGATTGAATCATTCGATTCAATCCATGGAGCAACTTCACCATCAGGCCATCATGCATCATCAGATTCTTTACTTCTTCTTGCTTGCGAGGATAGAGGATACTACGATACTACCTCTGCAAGGCAAGGAACTCTCAAGTGCTCTTTTTGTCAAGGGCACTTTTGCTCGCCAGCTCACCAGCATCATCATCATCAATAGTATGATGATACTGGTACTCACGACGGCCTGGCAGCCGGCTGGAATGCTTGGATCATTGCCTGAGGCAAGAAAGAAAGGCAACATTCGGCGCGACGAGGGCAGTTCTTATTGCAAGAGTTGCAGCTGTACCCTGCACATATATATGGCCAGTGGGTAAAGAGCCACTGCGCACTGAGGACTGAGGAGTCGCACTGGGCTCCTGAGCTTTGAAAGGAGGAAACATTGGTGTTATATATTTGATGAAAGAGGAGGAACTGCCTAACTCATGAAGAGTTAGAAAGTGAAAAATAGTCCTACTCTTGGGGCGAAGTCTTGCCATCACGGAATGTTCTTTGGCTCGGCGGCAACGCGCAAACCTGGAAGCGGAGGAAGTAGTGGATGATAGCTGAGAGATCTTGATGAGGAGTCGAGTCGAGTCTCAGTCTGATGAATACTGGTGGCGGCGCTCCGAGCGAGCCATGCATAGGGTGGGTGGTGGTACAACATACAGCATACACAGCAAGTAAAAAAGTAGTAGTCTACAAAAGGAGTAGTGTGTGAAGTGCACCCTCTTCCACGGCTTTTGCTATAACGCACATTCAACTTTGCGCGTCAGCCACTGCCATCTACAGTGTCCGAGCATTGACTTGTCAGTCTGAAGGAGATTGCGTTAAATCTCCAGATTCCGCCATGTGCAGTCTTCAAACACAATGGCTTATGACTCCCAAGGGGAGGTCTCTGGGCTGTCGCTTGATGATGACTACCATGTACGTGCGTGCCCTTCGCTGCACTTTTTGCCCCCTTCTTTGCTGTGCGGGGATCAAGCAAGGACTGTCCTTTTTCCCTTTTTATTCCTTTTAGTTTCCAATACACAATACAAAATAGCTAGTCTACAATTACAAAGCTTCAATCATAGCACCCTATCACAACCTAAAGGCCAGTTGCTACAATAATCTACTAAACTTTGCAAAGACTAGACCATGAGCGGCTACAGCAACCAAGAGGATACTCCCAAGAAACCACTCCGGGCTGGGATGTGGACTCAGGAGGAGATGGTGTATGTGAATGCCCTGGTGAAAGAGTTTCGAGACGGCGCACTCGATCTGTCCCAGGGAATGACTCTGAGGCGTTTTCTCGCAGAACGATTGCATTGTCATCCCAAGAGAATCTCCAAAAAATACGAAGGCACTGGCCTGAATGGTCGCACGGGTTACGTAGGACAAACGTACACCCCGGTAGAGCTTAACGAGAGGAAAATTAGACTTGAGCTGCTGAGAGGACAGTTCTTGGAGTCTGTTGAGAATCTGGATTTATATCATGGCGGCAACATTCCGCGAGCTGCTGCTGCTCAGAGAGATGCTGCTCAGAGAGACGCAGCCGCTTCATCGGGTATCCGGAATTCCCTCGTAACGACGCAAATTGGAGTCAATTCTGGTAAGTCTCCTCGTTGTGGAAGCGATGTCTTCAGCTAGTAGCGTTGCTGACCATTTCGTCTTTTGCAGGAACCGCTGCTCGAAACAGCCAATTGTCCACCGTATCAGGTTCTACAGCACAGTATCTGCAAGCTCGAGCTCGTCTAGCTCAAGCAACTCTGGGCTGCGCTGATTTGGTATTGTCTGGTGTTGTGAATCCAAATCCAATGGGATCAGTACGCGGTAGTTTCCTTCAGGATGTGTATTCGAGACCAGGTTTGGGTCTGTTTCCTCCACAAATCAACTCCATGGCGAGCGCTCCTTCTGGGTTGCTCTCGTCGGCTCTCGGGGCATCTCTCGGGGCAACGGATTCTCTCGCATTGAGTTTGGGGGCGACACATCCATCGTCTTTTCTGCTGGGGGGGAATAGATTTGGTTCCCTCCAATCGAGATTGTCGCCTTTCCACGGCAGTTTGGCGAGCAGTGCTCTTGGATTACCTACTAGGGGCACAGCCGTCGATTCTAACAGGGAGCAATTGATGACTTCTTTTCTCTCGAATCGGCCGGCCGCTGGAGGTGGTTCCGGTTCTGATGCGACCAGTCTCCTGGCATTGTCGAATATTAGCTCTTCTCCGCCTTCCGCCTATCCCCACACTGGTTAGAGATCCCTCTTAACCATCACCGCCGCCAATCACTCCAAGGTTCTACCGTATCGGAATCTTGAGGCGGTTGCTGTGACGCATCGGGTCTGTCGGAATCTCGATTCGCTTCTCAAGGATCGCTCTTATGGTTGTCGTTTTTGTGGGCAACACGGCATGGAAAATATTCAGACGAAAACTATATAATGGTTTGCATTTGACAGACTTGACTCCTCCACCGTTGATCTTGATGGCTGCTCGCGCGTGATAGATAGTTCCAGCATCTGCTCGTATCTCATGATTTGAAGTTAGGGTGTTCATCGAGCTCCTTCGGTCTCTCCTCGAATACTACACCTAGCATGGTGTTGGAGCACGACAACTCCAAACTGGGTCGATGGCTCGATCAGCCACGGCGCATCATGCTCCCATGGGTACGGGCGCCCATTGCACGGCGACGGTGCTTCGGACGGAGTGGCCAATCTTCCACCCTCTGGTCTCAGCCATAGACTCGACCCCCATTCGTCTCTCCACCTGAAGAAGGTAGCCGTCCTTTCATCCGCGACGAGTGATTGACCAACTCCGGCTGTTTGGTTTGTAGCTGCTGCCTTGCATGCTTTGAATGAGCAGAGGAGAGCGCATGAAAATGGCTGATTTCTGATCCTCCCTGACAGCGTCTTTTTCCGTCACCACCGTAGACACTGCAAAAGTTCAGGGGCACTCACAGCAGGAGGATGGATGGTTGGCTACCAGTGGTGAATCATTTTTTGCTGGTCTGCTGCGTTCATCTCTTGCTCTGCCTTTGCACTGCCACTTTGTACCGTACTCAGCCTGTAGTGGTACCACCGGTTTTCTCCATGGTGGTGGTTGGATTGCCGTACGGTACGGTACATGTACCATCTTCGCAATCCATTGCAGTTGCTTTTATGATGCGGAAACAGGGGGAGTACATCGACTCGACTTTCCTTGCTCCGCTCGCCTGGTTCTACTAGCTAGCTAGGCTAGTACAGTGGTCGTCTGGGCTGGGGGGTGGAGCAAATTATGCCAATCTAGAGTTTAATAATTAAGAGCCACCAACGCCCTACTAGACAGAAGACAGCGGTAAACAGTGCCTGGAAGTTGTGGACCATGAATTTCAGGGGTGCAGGTACCTGGTACAGTACCGGCGCGGTCGTAATAATAATAGCCACAAGTACCGGCACAGTCGTAGCTACGTTACATACAGTAAGCAGCGGTAAACCCCATTGTTTTCCGCACGTTACGGGAATCCTCTTTGTGGGCACTGAGCGAATTGATTTCTCCATCCCCCTAAAGGCCTTCCGTTGCGTTCTTTCTACAGCAACGCCGCCTCTGACGTATGTCTAGCTAGGTGACTGTACTTACCAGTAGGGCAAGCGCCGTGTGTTGATCTTACGGTAACTTTGAAGGGGGATGAGGTACAAAATAGTTCTTATTTTACATTGTTTTAACATTTTATTACGTCAAGTCCACACGGACACTGCTAATCCTCAAGCGACAAAAGCAAGTTTGGCAAGGCAAAAACTTCATCAGTGGCAAACCCAAACTTACTTGTCCAGTCTCGAGCAATCCTTGCCCTCCGGAGATGGACTCTACGTACGGTACCGTTTCGACGAGCTCTGGCTAGCCACGGTGCCTTACCACCCGCCCTTTCTTTCGCGAAGCCTCTCTACCAGCCGGTTCAAGAGGTTGTGGGTCATCTGATTTTACAGAGCTTTTTTTATGCTTTACTCCGAGTAACATTTTATTTTCCTCAGGTCGACAGAGACAGTTCTAATCCTCACGATGCAGGTCGTCAAGTGGTACCGTCAGGCGTCGGCAAGATGACCCCACGAAATATCAAGCAATTACTACCATTTCCCTACTGGTATGCACAGAAGCACCGCGTACCCTTCCTACAGTTTACTAGCCAGGCTTGCATGGCGCCGGTCGCTTCTTTCATTATTTGCGTTGTACTGGTACTTGGCCTGCCAACTGCAGCACCTGCCTCTGGGTAACAGTAAACTGGATGATAGCTATGCATCTTGGTATCATCCATCCTTTGACCCTGTATCGAATATCGGTATTTTCCTGGCTATCTTGTCCCGTCAGCCTGGGGACGTTTACAAAACCCTGAGTTATTCCGGCTTGGTTTTATAGGCCCAAGCTAGGTTTGGTTGTGCCCATCTTTTCAACAACAAAAATGAGTATTGATGGGTCCACTCGCTTGTGGAGCTTTCGAAGAATATGAGTCCGGTACTCAAATGTGAAGGGGGTCACCTGTATCTATCTTTCGAGATCTTTTGTGGGGAACGAGATGATACGCCAACCGCCAACACACAAGAAGTGCCTCCTCTGCCGATGATCTCGATCAAGCCTTGTTGACCTGCACTGGGATAGCAGGAGGATGTCACCTTCTATAGATACCGGCCGACTGGCAAGAAGCAGCCAACGATCATCATGTTCCAGGCCAAAATTCTGCTTCTTTATTTCTCGTCTCAAAACTTTGAAATTTGGATCCAACAAGAAGGTTTTCGTTCGAAGTGGGGAACGGCAGGTGAGGAACAGCAAGAGAGGAGAGGAAATCAGTGATTCCCTTTTTGGTAAGGCATTCATGGCACAGCTCTGACTTCATGACGAGCCAATGGTGTTGCGACGTGCTTTTCTCTCTCACACGTGTTGCTTTGTGTCACTCGCACCTTCCACAAACTGACATGCGACAGCAATTGAGAAACTATCAGAACAGGAGAAACTTGTATCGTGAGTGACGAGGAAAGAACAATGAAGCTTGGTTTGGCTCTCTGTGTGGTGGCTGTGCCATTTCTGCCAGGATCCCATGTAAGATACGCGCAGATACAGTCGTTTGTTCACCTCCATTTATCAAAGTGGATACCAACGGAGCGTTTTTCTACTGGTTTCAATTTTCTCAGGGGGAGACGGTCAGGGCCGCTATCAGCAGTGGAAATGCTAGTTCAGCAGCACTAAGGACTCCCATTGTGTTGTCAAAGGATGCAGTCGGCTGGGATACCAATGGGGGCGACATGCTTGGCCTCAGAGGTCCGGGCAGCAAGCCAAACCTTCCCATCATTGAGCTTTACCCAGAAGATGCGAGGGATAGGAGCTACAATGGGACGAGGAACCTTTGTGCGATGCAAGGCAAGAAGCTCTGTACGTTTGAGCGGTTCTGCACTGCGGTTGGAGACAAAATCCAGGGCGTTGGCGATGCAATGAACCCCCATGATGGTGACCAGTGGATCGCATACGAATTAGAAACAGGTGTGAGTGCTTGTGGTGATGGTGGTCATTGGTTACAGATTGCCGAAAACAACGAAACGTGGAAAGATTGTCTCGATGTCAAATGCCCACCTTGGGGAAAGGATCCCTCCAGCCGTGATCGCTTCCATAAGTACATTGCTTGCTGGTAAGTTTTTGAATAAAGCGCATCCTTCGTCAACCAAGATCCACTTCGGGAGGCTTGACTCACCGGCACGTTGATTGCTGGATCGCAGTGAAATGGAAGAGGCGTACAAACAAGATGAACAAGAAGCCATGCTGCAGGAGGTAAGATATACTTGTTGACTAAATATATATGACAACCTGAACTTCGACTAATGCATTCACACATCTCTCCTTATCGGCAGATACAAAGAAAAGTTTCGCTCCTCAAAACGATTGATTTCACAAATCTGAGCCTTCGAGATCGCATCAAACAGGTGGAAAGTGCATCCGGCACGTTGCGAGAAGTCCGCCAAGGTCTAGAGAGTTTTGATGTGGGTGAAAATGAGTTCTTCCGAGCGGCTCGTGCTTCCTTGATAGAGCACGCCGACACGGGGCTGAATGGGATGTCCAAAGTTATCGAGATGATGGAATCTGCCGCTGAGGACGAAACCCGGGCCGATGAAATACCTGCTGGCACATATTCGGGGCGCAAACTGGCACAGGCCGAACAAAACGAAGGAAAGGCTGAAGCCAACGCCAGGTACAAGTCTAGTAGTGCCAAGAAGCATAGAGCTTATTTCAGCAGGGACCCGATGGCATTGAATATTCACTCGAAGCTCTCAAAGGTGACGAATTCTGTGATGGATGGATCAATGGATGACATTGAGCGTGTTCTACTTCATGGCTATTCCGAGTACAGCATTGACGCTTCAGGCCACGGTCGGAGGATGAAAGATGCGACTGACCCCTGGCAACGCGCCAAGGGGAAGCAGTGCCGAATTCTTGCAGGCTGTGCAAAAACGATGTCACTATACGTGAGTTCCCTCTTCTTGAGTGGTTGCTTAGCACGAATGTGTGATCCTCTGCGCTGACAAGCATCTTCTATTGTAACAGGATGTGTTCGTTTCGTTCTATGCGGACGACATTGACACAACAGCAGGAACGGTAAGGATATGCTACGTTTGCCCTCGTCTAAAGCCATGCCGTGTCTAATTTTAAAGGTGATTGCAACATCTATCTTCTTTCAGGTGGACACCAATATAGTCAAGTTTGATGAACGGGATCTCATCGCAAAGCACAAGAACATTACAGGTGCGGCCAAGAGTATCCTTCCTGGGCAGAAATCTGATTACGAACTGGGTTTGACTCCATCGTGCGATGAGCTGCTGAAGTATTTCCACCGTACAGTGGAGCAAGGTGATTTACCAAAGTGGGAAGGTAAGCAAGCAGTGTTGGTGCCGGTTTTGCGTGTTGAACACACCTCACACTTTCGTCGATATTCAAAGGAGCGACTGTTTCGGAGGTGTGCTTGGCTGAAGGAACTCCAAAGTATATTGGTTTTGGCCAGATTGCTCAAGCTGTCGGAAGCCGAATCGCAACCATTTTGGCCGAAGAGCAATTGAATTGCGCCTGGGATCTGCACAACTCAAAAGCTCGGAAGGAAGATCCCCGTTTCAAACATGAACCTTTTGTCTTTGCAGATAGTAGGCAATATCCAGACCCGAACACACGCTTGACGATTACGGATCTCCTGATTCCTACTGGACTCAGTCAGAACGCTCGAGATATCCACGGAAAAGTACAATCGGAACAAGACCGCAGCCCTTATGATCGATATTTTGATTACCAAGCCTATCATGCCATTGACTTGCGCCATGTAAAGGAGAAGGACAAGAGCAAGAAGTTGAAGGAGCATTTCCATCAAGTCCAGCTTGGATTCGGATTTGTCTTTGGCGAAAAACAGTGCGTATCGGCCAGCCACGGTGTCCTGCGACGACTGATTGCGAATCTTGCATTTGGAATACTAATTCGAGAAGCTCAAATTTGAAACTTTTGCTCTCTTGTTCCATGGCTGCAGGTCGACTGGATTTGTATGCGGTATCAAAGATGCAGTGTTGAATCACGACAAGTCCATGCCAGGTTTGTATTGTATCGGTCAAATCAAGCTGCCTTTGCAAGCCTTGCGAAGATTGGCATTCTAACAACGGTTGTAATTCCGTTTATCCGTTGTTTCAGGCCACTGCTGTCTTGATGCTCCGTACGAAAATGAAGGTGAGAGCCTCTCTTGCTGTCAGCAGGGAAGTGCTTTTATAACAAGTCTCACGCTCTTCCTCTGAACCATGAAAACTTAGGGGACGACTGGGGGCGCAAGGTGAGTCAATGGGGCCTGACTAGCCTCGTTAGAAACGCAATGCTGAGAGCGAGGACGACAGATGATGGTATCCTAAATCACACTGCTCTGCTTATTCGTCCAACAGTTCGACTGCAAACATGAATGCAAACATCCTGGACCGTTCTTTGCTGGCATGTCAACGGAAGCGTGTGCAAGTCACGGTGGGACTTGGTGTGCAGCACCTACAAATTGTTGGGATTTGAAGGTTTGCGTAGAGAGTGAAATCAAGTTGGGCAAGGAAAAGGGACACCACGCTTACGCCAAATATGTGGAGGGCGGCAGAATCACTGATCCAAAAGATGTTCTTGATTGCGGAAGGGCCAGGTGCGTTCAGAAACGACAGAATTTTCATGTCGTGAACAAGGTCTCGCTGACAGCCTCGGCGCTTGATGCAGGAAGTACTTTGGCTACGACGAGCATTACACACATGACGACGACGTCTGCGAGAATGTGCGACAACTAAGGAACACGAGACGATTTAAGGTCCGTCTTTTTGGAGACAGTGGCAACACAGGTTGCGCATACTTTGTCTGACTGTTTCTTTCAATCGGTATATTACGTTGCAGGATTTGGATCGATTTTTTGGCAGAGGGGCTGATGGCAGTAGCGGCAAGGCTGAAGGTCCAAAAGAAGTGGACTCCGCAAAAGTCGGCAAGAGGACCTTTTTTGGCGAACTTGTCAAACCAAAGAGAGAACAATCGGGGACCAATCCGGTGCAATCCAATCAGGCTTGGGCTGCAGTAAACTTTGTCTTGGAGCTGCTCGTGGATTCCGTTTGGAGCATTTTTTCAACTGTTGCGGGCCTTGATTGTCCCAGTGATCCCACGTTTGTCAGTTATCTTGCATGCTTGGGTGTCAAAAACGGAATTATTGTCTTGGTGGCGGCCTTGTACACTATTGCAAAATTCGGACTCGCGATATCCGAGTTTGCTCGTGATCAGTATTGTACGCGGGGCGCCAATGAAGAATATCGTACATACGAAAACACAGAGGCGATATACGCGAACACGGACACAACTTTCAGGTTTCTGGATCACATTTATGGGTCACTTGTGGATAACCAAGATGCCAGTGTAAAGAGTCTAGAAAAGAGACTTGAGCAGCTGACAGAGATGGCGAACCAGCAACGAGAAACATTGGGATACCTCGTTGATAAAATTGATTCAATGGACGCGCCCAAAGTCACTCATCGACCAACTGAACAGCCAACAAGACATCCAACATCAGCTCCAACTTCAAAAGCTGATCTCACACGTCCTACGCCACGACCAACGATTGCCCCCACCACCGAGGACTTCTGCGAGCCTCTTATAGAATTGGAAGACATAACCGCAACTGATTGGTATTTGGACAGGTTTGGATGCGATGGTGCTAACCCGTGCCACGCAAGAGTTGATTTGTTGGGGCGATTGTGGGTAGGAGCAAAGGGTTCGGAACGCGGCCCAGGTTCAAGCTTTGGCACAACCGATTACTTCTTCACAAACAGCAAGACAGACACGAGGAAGATGATATGCGGACAGGTCAGCTATGGGAAATTGGTTGATGTTGAAGTAATGACCATTTGGAGCGATGGAAGCAGCAACGGAGGAAACGCCGGCATTGGTGTGGCAAATTACAAAGTACAGCCTGCTATTGAGTTCCTTTTCAAGCGCTGCACACCCAAATTCTCTGTGGAGGATATCCAACAGTTTGATTGGGTTGACAAAGCCGGGGACGCCGGTGAATTCAAATGTCCGAGCAACAAGCCCTATTGCCTCAAAACTACAGTTGACAGTCAAGGAAAGCTCTGGATGGGAGTCGAAGGTGTTCACTCCGGAGTGGGCCCAAATTTGCAGTACGGTCAAGGATCCCACTGGCACACTACATCACGCAGCGAGACGTTGAAGTTAATGTGTGGGCAGCCCGCGAAAGTTGAAGCGCACCACTCTGGTGCCTGTGGTTGCAGCGAAAGAGGCCAAGCAGATTACCTTGGATCCACTTCCAAGACATCATCGGGGAAGACATGCCAACCATGGAGCCAACAATGGCCGCAAAAACACAATCACTCACCCAACGACAGGAATATGCTTCCTGGCACAAATGTATGCCGAAACCCCGACAAACATTCCCATGCCTGGTGCTACACAGCGGACCCAAAAGTTCGTTGGGAGAGCTGCCAGGTTCCCACGTGCTCAAGCAACATGTGTCAGAAACACACAACAGTTCAGATGATCAGCAAGGACAGCTTGAAACACAGCCAGTTCTTCACCTTGAACCGTGTTTGCACACCTCTTTATACAGAAGGCCTCCTGGTTGGAAGCAAATGGCTGAACAAAGAATGGGGGTGCACGTGGGACAAGCCTTGCGTTGCGGTCTTAGATTCACATCCAAAACAATTCAACAGGCTTTGGATGGGAAAGGCCGGTGATTCGCATGGGCCTCCAGATGCACGCATTTTCGATGCACACAAGTTCTTCAGGACTGACTCGGCGGAAGCTACGAGGAAGTTGATGTGTGGAGAGGCTGTTACAACCACCACTCTCGGGACTGAGCCGAGGTTCATTGTCGTACACAATGGACAGGTAACCAATTCCTACCCCGACGGTCATCTGGATGATGCCAAAAAGGAACTTGCTAGAGTGGCGCAGCTTGGAGGAAGCCGGCTGATTGCGGAAGTTGTCAAGACGGTGGTACAACAAGATCCACACCATATTGATGGAAACGCCCAAACAAAAGCAAACGGCTTTGATAAGTAAGTTGTTCCGTTCCAGAACGATTGTGCTGCCGAGTCGAGTCTAACCGTTCACCATTTCCTTGGAACTAGTTTTTGGCACCACTGGGACGACATCAAGGCTGTAAGTTGCTTGTTTCTATTGTGTCTGGAGCGGGTCTACCTCGACATCCTCAACCTTTGCTTCCGCTAATCTTCTTCTGTTTCTACGGTACTTGTGCTTCAGATGATCGCAAAAGCTCAGGAATACAATGACCAAATGCGCAAAGTCAAGATCGAAGACGGAGGCAACAAAGTCACATTGGGCTCGATTGCATTCACGCGTATCTGCGAGCCCATCTACAATGTGGATGATATCACTGAGCTGGAGTGGCACTACTCCCCTTGGGGTAAAGAACCCGTGGTTGCAAAGATAGACTTTGACGGCTTGCTTTGGGTGGGAGTCGTTGGCGACGGTTGGGGCCCCTACAATACATATGGCGCTTTGAAGGCTTGGCGCACAAAGTCCAGGCTGGATACGAGGAAACTCCTCTGCGGAGAACTGGCTGACGTGTTAGTCTCGGAAACAACTGGTGATAAGTCAATTCCTCGTTTCTCAATCCCCGAGCAAGTGACCATGGTGAATGGCAATACCATCCTGCACTCATCAAGCCACAAGAAGTTCAGTCGTACAAACGTGCAAGTCCACCCTCCAAAACTCAAGATGTTTGGACTGCCTGAGACGAATGGCGTTCAAAATTACTTTCAAGCCCTTGGCTTCTGCAAAGCCAGGGGCCTCGATTTGGGATCGAAGGATGACTACTGCACGGATGGCAAAGTGTTCTCGGGCACCAAACAAAATGACCAGTGGGCACCCATCAGGTACGCTAGCTAGCTTTGACCGAACAGACCCACTCGCGCAGTACGATACGATACAACCGGGCCAACTGAACGCTCACATATGTGCTTCATGCATTCTTTCTGTATATTATTATAGTGATGAAGACATGGGCTACATTCAAGTTGGTACCGGAAAGAAGACGTGCAGCACCCACAAGGAAGTACATGGGTACAACCCTGATGGAAAGGGAAACGGCAAAGGAGAATTCGCGACTTCACATTGGGCAACGGTCAGGGATTATACACAAAGTAATTTTGAACACTACATCCTCTGCAAGCAGTCGAATCTGCACCTTTATGGCCCGAGTGAAGGAACGAAGGATGTCAAGAACTACACAGACAGTGTCGAGTTTTGCCAAAAGAAGGAAATGGTTCTCGGAAGCTACCGAGACTACTGTCCCGGTGGTTGGTTAAATGGCAGATGGAACGGCGGTGAAGTGGACGGATGGGGCCATCCCATTGGGGATTATCACCAAGATGACCAATGGGCCCCTATTTCCGACACGTTCAACGACTGGGTGTTTATCGGTCGCTATGAAGGTTTAAATCCGGAGACCTGCGGCGGTACGCACCTTCAGCGCCACGGGAGCACCCCCGCTTGGGGCAATGATGGCGACACCAAGAGCTCCTTTGAAGCGAACTTTATTTTGTGCAGAAAGAAGAAGACGTAGCTTCTTGGTTGCCCATTATTAGTTGACAACTCTCCTTCGAACAGGAGAAAGAAGAAGTATGATTGTTACAATCATGTATACATGCATTTTAAAGACCGGTTTGCTGGTCTACTTTAGTCCTTGTTTTGCATTGCGTCCGTCGTGTGTTGTGTGAAAAGTGCATGGTTGTGTTTCAGCCAGCTATGCATAGCTATGTGGCTGCTTTGAAGAAGCACTTTCACTTCACCCCCTTTGTTGTTTCTGCGGATGGCCTCTTCTCTCTAAGCCATAATAAACGCTTTCAGCAGAAGGGGTAGCATACACGCATTGCTCACCTCAGCAGCCACAATCGCTCGTACCTACCGGAACAGGCAGGGCAGAATCTCTCCCCCCGCCAACTACAGAGCTCTGATCGAGGAATAAATCAGGTAATCTTCAATGTAGTATTCTACAAGCAAGCAGAAACTCCACTCTTGCTGCCTTCATCACGTCGCCAAGAGTTGGCTCCAATCTTCTACATGTACGAGAGGAAGAGTATATTGTACCACACAAGCAAGATGATCCGTCCTTGGTGCGCACGTCCAAAGCAAGAAAGCAGCCAGGAGGATATGGTGCAGCATCAAAAACTCCTACTAGCTAGGTTTTAGTTTTGCTTGCTTCTTGAGTCCTCGCTCCCTTGTGACAACCAAAAGGTTCTTAGCTGGCCTGCAGGCAATGTGTTGTTACCTCAGCCACTCAGGGCCTTGCTCTGCCTCTCCTACTCTAACTAGACTAGCTGTGGTAGCCGGCTGTGGGAATGATTGAATGAATAGACTAGCCAGAGTACAGTATTATCAAGGACACGAGACACCACGATTGTTGTCCCTTGTGGACATTGCTTGGGATAGAAATTGGTTTCCCTGTGGATGCTTGAGCATGTAATCCAGTCACACGTACGTACGATATTGTACAGGCACAGCCCAAGATGCAGCCAAAAGCGACAAAAGCCCGAACCTCTTGACTGTACGGTACAGTACAGCCCGAACCTGTTGACTGTGCGCTACATTCTGTGACATTCTGTTCCATCACAACACAACACAACAACCAGGGCCATCACAAGCCACAAATAACCGAGGCCAGGCCAAGCCAAGCCCCACAGAAGTAAAGCTATGAACGATGATGAGACAATGAGAAGAAGAAGCAGAACACTACAGCAGAAGAGCAGACTCAAGAGAAGAAGAAGGAGAATAGGCCCTCCATGGCTGCTGGTGGCTGCGATTGTTCTTCTCATGTCAGCAGCAAGCTTGAAGACTGTTTGGGGAGTGACGCACACTGCCGAATCCAGACAACGGCAGAGACAACGACAACAGCAAGAACAGCAACAAGCCAATCATTCAGCCTCCACAGGACATTCTCACTATGTCTTGGCCGTGGTTCCGAAAGCACTGGGCATTCCCTTTTTTGATCCAGTCCACGACGGTTGTCTAGATGCTGCTGCCAAACTGTCTACTACTAGTAGTACTACTACAGTGGAATGCCTGTTCGTCGGTCCTTCCGTTCTCGATGGACACGAACAAGCCAAATTGGTGGAAGCGTTGCTCAACAACACAAGCACAAGTACTACTAGTGCTACTACTAGTGCTAGTAACAGTACGTATGGCCCATTCCCAGCCATTGATGGATTGGCCATTTCCGTGGAAGACGAAACCCTCTTGACGCCCTTGCTAAAAAGCGCTTCCAGTATTCCCATTGTCACATTTGACAGTGATGCTCCCGAGTCGGGACGCTCGCATTACATTGGCACGAACAATTCCTTCTTGGGCATGCAATTGGCACGCGCCATGGAAACACTAGTGCCGGATGGAGGATTGTTTGGCGTGATTTCCGGCAGTGCGCCCAATTTACGGGAACGAGCCGATGGCATTCTCGCCGAACTCCATCATCATTCCAATTGGCATCATCGATGGAATGCGTTCAAAGATAGTCCGTTTGATGCGCAATCCAATGTGACACTTGCGCTCCAACAATTGCGGACGTGGGCCACTGCGGATGAAACGCCAGTGGTACTCGTCAGTGTCTTTGGATTGCCCATGCAAATTGTCAACGACACAAACACACAACAATCCTCCATTCCATGGAAACAGTTTGTCGACGAGGTGGCCCGTGATCGGAACATTACCCTCCTCTGTGCGGATGACTTGCCACATCAATTGGAACTGTTACAGAGTGATTATGTCGATGGACTAGTGGGACAGTTGCCCTTTGATATGGGACAACAAGCCATTCGAGTTCTCTATGAGCAATTGTTGATTGTCAATGATGGCAGTGACAATGTCAGCGATGATGACTACATTATTGGCACCAACGTCATTAGTCACACTCACATTCCACTCGAATTACCAGAAGTACAAGTCAACAACAATCTCATTGGAAATTTGCAATATGTCGGATACACACTCTTTGCCATGGTGGCCATTACGGCACTGGGATTTGGGACGTGGGCATTTTATCGCCGCAAAGTGCGCGTCGTGCGAGTGGCACAACCTCGCTTTCTGATTATGATTGCCGTTGGTGTCCTAATCATGGCATCGTGCATGATTCCACTGGGCATGGACGATGGTGGCGGTGCGCATGCCGATTGTTTTGACGGTGACGTGCAATTGGGAGAACGATGTACTGCCATTTGTATGAGTGTCCCGTGGTTGGGATCCATTGGATTCACCATTACATTTAGTGCTCTCTACAGCAAGACACGTCGAGTCAACAAGATATTTCATTCCAATACCGCCTTTGGACGCGTCAAGGTATCGGAACGCGATGTGTTGGTCCCATTTTTTGTCTTGTTGTGTCTCAATGTCATTATTCTCGTGGCATGGACATTGATTGATCCACTCACGTACATAAGGGTTGCCAATTACGGACGGGATGGATGGAATCGAGTCATTTCGACCTATGGAGTGTGCAGCAGTGAGAAAATGGAACACTTTTTGATTCCGCTGGCCATTGTCAATATGGGCGTCCTACTATTGGCCAATTGGCAAGCCTACGAAGCACGAGATATCGAATCCGAATTTGCCGAAACAAAGTGCATCTCCATTTGCATGGCCAGCATGTTGCAAGCCATGGTGACGGGAATCCCAGTCTTGTTTGTGGTGGGCGATTTGCCAAATGCCTATTACATTGTCTTGGTGCTGCTCGTGTTTGTCATTAGCGTGGTCATTTTGGGAGCCATCTTTGTTCCCAAGATCTATTTCACATACAAGTATCTACGAATGAGTCCCAGTGATCAAAAGAGAGTCCTGACCGACATTATCCGCAAGACGGCCAAGTCCACGTCCGGTCCTCGATTCAGCGCGGGCACCACCGCGACGGGGCCCTCGTCGCCTTTTGGACGACAACAAGGATCCACCTACACCACGATTACACCTCCACAACAACCAACGTACCAAGCAAATAATGGTAATGACGACGACGCAACAAATAATAATGACAGTCCCGCAGACGATGACCCCAACGCGAGACCCGAAAGCACCTCGGAATCCAATGCTTCGGATGAATCGGGGATGGTATTCTTTCGCAAGTCCACGCCGGGATTTCCACCTAGCAGCATCAACTATAATGCTGCCCTGCAACAAGGAGGACACTATCCGTCTAGTTTCACCAGCAGCAACAGCAGCAGCATTCATCCCAAACAACGCACCAGCAAAGTTCAGTTTCTTCAAGATCAACCGCAGCAGCAGCAGCAACAACCGTTGCCTGGATCTGTCGGCCAAACTCAAAAGACGAGAACGAGTGTTCATCATGATGTGATTGAAGAGGGTGATGAAGATGCTGCACACGAAGCAGAACTTGGTGTAGCGGAGGAGGCGGCCACGCTACCCATGCTGTCCGAGTCTGCTGAGTTCAAGTCGAGTTGTTCGGAGGAAGATGGCTACGTGACGGCCGACTCTTTGGCGTTTGTCAGCGAATTGGAGGCAATCACCATAGTGGAAGCTTGAGCATTAAACGGCCGGTGGAATCGAGCGACCAAGCAGCAAGCCTCTCATGCGTAATCGTTCACGATTGTCGTGAAGCTCAAACCGGGTCGTTGCCGAGACCTTTCATTTATTTGCTGTCAGTTTCTCACGAGAAGCGAACGAGTTTGCGCAATGTTGTAACCACTATTCTGGCCACGGCTAGCGGAAAGCAAACAGTAGAGCCCGTACCAGGTAATAGGGTCGGGCGGGGCAGCAGGTAGTCAAGCTTGCATGCAGACAGCAGTCTAACTTCCGGAAAAGTGGCCTAAGTCTACCCTTCTCGGCTGGTAGCAGCACCCAGCTCCAGGACCCACACAAAGGCCAACTCTAAAACACAACCCCTTGGGGAATGTAATCCTTAGGTTGCACTAGAGCGCAGCTAGCGACCAACGTTCGGTTTGGCTTAGGGGTAACAGTCTAATCCTCAAGCCGGAACTGAATCTAGCTAGCTGTACACTGCCGGAAACACTACCTTACCTTCTCGTCTCGTGCTGCTTATTAGTGTGCTCATTTGCGTGCAACGCATAGTCCATCCACAAATCCTTCCTCTCCTCATCGCATCCCTCCTCAGGCTCGGATGTCAGCAGGGGCTAAGCAGGATCACCAAATTGTCCTCCTTGCCTCGAGGACGGAACGTTTACCTTGTCCTGACTCCATATTACCCCCAAACCTCGCTCACCAAACGGCTGTTAGAGCGCAGCAATGCAAATTAACACGGCAATACATACAGAAGGCAAAACCTGCAGGAACAAGACACTTAATGGAGCAACGCATCACTCAGTTGAGTTTACTTGTTTGGACTCGAACAACTTGGATGTCTCCAACGCCATACATGTACCAGAAAGATTAAAATCTGATTTTGCCTGGGTGGACTTATGCCCCCTGTGTTCCCTCGGTTGTCGGTCGCTTTAGTTCGAACTGTGACTGGCTGGCGTTCAAAAAGGAAAGAAGGGTATTTCCGATTTGGATCGTTCGGAAGAAACACCCCACCTTCTGGACTTCATTTGTGCCTCAGCTCCATGTGTCGAATTGAGAGGCTCAGTCAGTTGCTTGCTTGCCCACTGGATGAAACGAGCAAGCTTAGGCAGAGACGAGTACCGCTACCAAAGAACAAGTGTAAACAGTGTAAACTTGAGCGGGTCTTTCGATGAACGTATACAAAAACAAAACGCCCACAAAGCAACGTCTGCAAAGAATAGAAAGCAACAGACGTAAAAATGAAGCCTAACATCACCAACCTCACTTTCGCCGCTCTTCTCGTTGGACACGTATTCTCTCAGCAACTTCGCGGAAACGACAACCACAGAAGCATGCAAGACGATGCATCCAGTTCAACTCCGACAAGCATGTTTGATCTCTTTGATTCATTGACAATTCTTCCAACTAGCGCTCCGACCGCACCACAACAGCTGAGGAAACGGACCGATACCCCAACCGGTGAACCCACGAAATTGCCTACAACAGCCCCAACAGTTGTTACTACGACTGGTGAGCCATCTGTTGCACCAAGTATCTGCACAGAGGCGCCAATAACAGACGTGCCATCAACTTCCCCAACTGACCGTAACGACCCCCCTCCAACCATTGCACCAACTGTTCACCAAGGAACACCTTTTCCAAGTCAAGCTCCCACATATAGTTTGATCAATTCCGTTCTTTGCGGCGGTTCCCCCAGCTTTGCTCCAAATTCCGGCGACGAACTCTTTGGCACGCTGGACCCAACTCCCGTACCATCTTCAGGAACTATCTCCCCAACTATTGCCCCATCTGACAGTCTCACTACGAGTGCTCCGACAGTTGTCCCCACAGAGAGAGCCGAAACCCTGGCACCATCTCAGGCAACGGAATCGATGCCACCAGGTATTACCGAAGAAGACTTGGTCTCCACGCAGGCAGCTTGGAAGCGAGCAGCAGGCGATCATTGATCTAGTTTATGCTAGGTTTGATGGTGAATGGGATTTCTGCCAAGAGGATCCTTTGCACGCTGGGATTCAAGACAGTGATATTGTTGTTCGTCGCTTCAGTTGTGCCCGAGCCAACCAACAACGGGAGTTATTGCGCAAAGCCCTTATCAGAACTGCTGGCAACGTTGAATTGGAAATACAGATTCTCGACTTCAACAACATTGGAGCAGAAGTTCATTCCAGTCTTTGCTCCAGGAACCCTATCGGTGGCTTTTCCTTTGACGAATGTCAACAACGCCTTGAGGATTTTTTTGACGCTCACTTTGTACCAACCTCTGCCCCCACCAACGCTCCCACGCAATCACCCGTGGAACTATCGGGAGATCAGGAAGAGCTCATTGAGGCTCTGGTTGAATTCTTTGGGGTTGAAAATTGCACCTTCACGCGGCTCAACTTTGCCATTGCCGTGACAGAGTGTGGCATCGATGCCTATGGCGGACGCGTGACAACAATTCATCACGACTTTGTAAGCATTGTGGCGAATCTGTCGGGAGATGAAGATGTCTTCTACCAGTCAAACCCTGATCCCAATGTATTCCTTGATATTGGCTGCTCCACCCGTGAAAGGAGAACCTCTTTTGACGACTGCAATGCCATTTTCCAGGCATTCCTTGCCCGGAGGCAGACCCTCGACCGCAGAAGAGCCCACCGCGACCGTGGATACTTTCGCGCCTTCTGACTCATCGTCATCGTCGCCTTGGTAGACAAAAGTCCATGGCATAAATACGAAAGCGACCAAATTTGTTGAGTGATCGGTACAGTAGCTTGTACTCGTCGTCTACCTTTCTAAAGGCTGACATGCGAACCTTTACAGCGGCATCAACGGGCGCTCACGTACCGATGCCGTTATGTGGACTGCGTGGTTGAATTTGTGGGAAACAGAAGGCCGCCATCCGCGTGAGTCACACATACGACCACCTTTGGCGTCCCACAGAAATTTCATCAAATTCGAGTTGTTTGTCGCCCATTTTTTGTTCTTGTTGGATCATTCTGGTGTGCCACAGGCTATCATGGAATGCAATGCACTAAAATGGCTTGTCTTTTTGTTCTGAGAGGGGATCTGAACTATACTAACGATACTGCACTGCAAGGATACTTTGGCCTTTCCCGAGTTCGTTTGTGGCGGGAGGATTTTGAAAAGAAACACAGGATCTGATCAACTGTTCGGTAACAACGTGACAACAGCTAGCTGGCTGCAATAGTAGCAAACATACAGAACAACCATCACCATGAGCGGGTCGGGGGGTAAAGCATCCAGTACTGGAAATGCCTGGTCAGATGCTGCTTGTTATCTGTTCCAACCGGGTAGCACGCTGTGTGGGAGCATGAATGTTGTGATACCAGGAACGGCAGCGGCAACATACCCTTTCACGGAGGAAGAGGACGAAAACTTTTGGACTCAAGCTTCCTACTGTGCGGCCATGAGCCCCAGCGCTGGAGTTCGTACTCCTCAGGCTGCTACCGCTGACGCCGCTCCGTCGCAAGAAGAGCAGATGGACGCAGCAATGAAAAAACTGGATACCAAATACAAGTTCAAGCCGCACATGTGCGAAGATCGAGACTTCTTTGTCATTAATGCCGGCGCTACTAGTGTCGATGTAGAGTCCTTGTCAACACCTTCCATGGGTGGTCATCTACGGAGCTTATCGGAAGCAAGTGATTCCAGTAGTTTCAAGCTGGAAGCACTTCGTGAGGGCGCGCCGTCCTTTGAGAACAAGGACCAGATCCTGGAAGCTCCCTTTCCCGTACTCGTGTACCCCAACAACGCAGAAAACAACAGCAACCGAGAAGCAGAAACCATAAACAACTCTACCGTCAGTAGCCACGCCCTAAGGGGCGCAGCGTCCATGATTCGTGAGAGCGCCCCCGAGTGGATTGTGAAACCTGCCCGTGCCAAAAGGACATTCGATAGTCCCGAAGAAAGACGGATTCCGGATGAACATCGCGTCAAAGAACTCTTATCGCCCATCAACCCTACAACAACACCGAATGAAGAGGTTCATGCAGGCCGCTATAGCTCTAAATTTGGCATCTCCTCCTGTATGGTTCCAACTAACCCCCCGACATCGCCAGCCAACCAGGCGTACGACCAACAGAAGCAAGCGTCCGAGTCACTTCGGAAACAGAGTAGTCTCAACGATTGCCCGGCCAATAGTGCCGAAGACGTGGAAATGATGAAGAAGTTTTGGACGGAAAAGTTTACACAAGCGGCCAACAAGGTTATCCAGAGCGACTCGTCACGCAGAATCTTGGAACTGATTGACCCCACCATACCCCGTGAAAGTGATGGAAACAGGCGGACTGGGCAACAATCCTTAAGAGGACGCCAGAGGTATCGACAGGTTCTTAAAAAGTACCGAAAGCACCGTATCCTGGTACTCATCCTGGATCCCTCCACCAAACTCTACGAGATGCTAGAGCTGCCGTATCGACCCGATGAAACGACAGTGGCCGATGTCCTCATCATGGCTCGCATCCAGACAACGGATGATCGTTTGCGCTACAAGGATTACATTGGCTTGTGTCGTCCCAATCTAGATCCACCCCCTCCTCCACCACTCAAAAAAGTGGAATCACCGTCAGCTTCGACTACAACTACACCAACTCGCCACCAATTGTCGCCCCCACCATTGAACCGTGTGACAAAGCAGTTCAAGCATATGCATCACTATGACCCTGAAGGCCGCGAAGATGATGTCAACTCCATCGTGTCCGAAGCGACAGCCATGCGAAACCTTGCCGCAGCGTCGAGCATGCTACAGGAAGTCACCGATCAAGATAAATTGGTATGGAATCTCCTGTCGCCATCTTCTTCCACAAAGCCTACTCCTTTGACTTGTACCGGTGCCATCCCTTCCCAGTTGGCACTGTCTCTTCCTTACTTTACGCTTCCGCTGCTGGGAGACATTGTCGTGACGATTCCCAAGGGGTACACGGGCGAAGACGTTTCCAAATTTGCCCAAACAATTTTGCAAACACCACTCTTTCTACGTTGGATGCATCGTCGGTACCTCAACGACTTGCAACGGCAGAATGATGAACTGCTATCACGAGCCAAAGCTATAGGCGGGAAAAATAGCAGTGGTGGTGGTGGTGGTGGCCGTGTTCGTAGCAGAGACAGCACTGGTAATGGCACGACAATCTCAGACCAAGCAACCATGATGGCCAGTTAGTGGAACGCCTACCTCTGATGATGATGTTGTATCCCCGTGTACACCAACAAGCCAAAGTAACTGCATGGGAAGTGCTCCACTACTGTAACTGATAGTTAGCTCTAATTTACGTACTGTACCCCAGGAGGCACCAACCTTCGCCTCTTCTGTTTCGTCAGGGCAAATCCTCCTACCGGTACTTACGAATTAGGACGAGGCTCAATCAATACCGTAGTAGCGAATAACATCCATCTAGCCGGCTGCAAACGTTGGCAGGTGCGGACACGGGCTGATTCCTGGTGTTGGGCCTGACATAAGTAACTGTGCCTTGGACCTTTGGAATTGCTACGATCTATCATTGTTAAAAATAAAAAACTGACAGTAAAACTCGTGACGTGGAGCCAATACGATAGCTAAAAGCTAACTATGTACTAGCTATCTAGTTAGTCATGTTCCCCTGCCTCTTTTGTCTCTGAGTAAGACATTCAAAGCATACTTTTCAGCTTCTGTCAAAGTCGTGTCTTGACGATCATGCTGAGTACTAGTAGTGTTGGGAGCAGGGTCACCACCGAACACGGGGGAGAGTGGTTCTGCAATCACAGTTTCCATATTGAGCCGTTGCCGCAGGACCGCCAATTCTTGTTCGAGTGCCTCAATTTTCGAATCCTTTTGTTCCACCAATCGCCTCAGAGCCTCGACTTCTTGCTGATGATCCTCGTTACCACTGTCGTCGTCGACCATGATGGCCACTGGAATGCTGCTGTTGGTCTGCCTTCTTCTCAATTCCCGCGGCGGCACTGCCACCGCTCCAGGAAGCGATTCCATTTCCTCTCCTGCTACTTCAATTTCTTCTTCTTCTTGGCTGGCTGAGGAACTGTCAAGTTGTTGTTGCGCGGTCTGCAATACAGATGGCCGTATTCGAAACATGGTCCGCTTCACAGCCATATCCGCTTCAGAACGACGGAGACCACGACGCAATGGTATAGAGGAATCCAAGGAACCTCGGCGGCCTTGGAAGAATCTTCGGAGACCTTTGGTGGGTTTTCCTGCGGGGGTGGCAGTGTATTGCAAACTGCGTCGCCTGTGGACACGTCTTGTTTTGCTGGCGCCGCTGGCTACGAGTGCGGAAGAGGATGATGGATGTTCCTCACGGGACGACTTTTGTGATGGAGGATCCTTATTGGGTTCATTCTTTTCTTGATGGTGTGATCTTTCTTCTGTTTCTTTATGAGGTTGAATTTCCTTCAGGTCCAGCTGGTCTTCACTTGGCACCGAAGACGATAGTTCTTCCGTCGAAGAGTTTTGTGATGGATTCGGCTCTTCTTGATGTAATGTATCATTCTCTTGGTTGCCTTCTTTTGTTGTTTGGTCACAACCAGAGCTGCAATCGGTGCTTGCTAGCTCCCGCTGAGAAAGTTTAGGGTTGAGCTGATTATTGTTTGGGTTTGGCCCCAATGATAATGATGATGTGTCACCCAAAGAGTCCAGGTGTGATGGAGGATCATCCCTGGGTTCTTCTTGCAGTGGTCCATCTTCTGCTTCTCTACATGTACCAGCTTCAAGCTCTGGTTGATCAAGCTGGTCTTCACTTGGCACTACTGAGGATGATTCTTCAGTCAAAGAGTGGTCTGATAAATGATCCATCTTGGGCTCTTCGTCGTGTGAAGCAACACTCTCTTGGTTGTCTTCTCCTTCTTCGGTATTGGCAGACGATGTGCTACCGGTAGTAGATCCACTTTTAGACCCTTTGCGAGGGCAAACATTGGGCTTGTCTCCTTCTCCTTCTTGTGAGTGTTTCCGAGTAGCATCATTATCACTAATAGTTGGTCTGTCCACGTAGATGGAAGCTACCGAAGCCTCCTCATCGTCGATAAAACTGCAGGGGATGCGCTCTCCGGGCGGATCTCTGCATTGTTCACGAGCCATGGTTCCAGCAGGTTGGTTCTAGCTAGATGCCTTCAGGGTCTGCTGTATACATGTAGTTCATCTATCTTCCCTCCTCTTGGCATGCTGTGTTTTTTGTGATGCTTGGCTGCAAGCCGAAAGCCGATGCTGCACTTTGGATGTTCTTGTGGTACCGCCGACGTGAACCTCGCAATGAGCATTCGTGGCACCGAAACTATTTTAAAATAGTAGCATACGTCTCATAAGCCTCTGGTCCGCCGAAAAGGATTAAGGAAACGGAGGAGCTGGGCTGCCGGTCCACAGCACTGCAGTCACGGTCGCTTTCGTGCTTGGCTCCAGTGGTACAGTACTAGCTAGCTAGAAGTCCTGGAACTCGCCTTCCTCTCTGTCTCTCATTCTCACCATAGACTAGTTCCCTCTAAGCCATAGTAAATTACCGTATCCTACTGTAAAAGATAGTCACTACTGTACTCCAAGAGGCTGCAACCTTCCACTCTTTCTGTCCGCCAGAGCAAACCTTCACGATGATGGCTCAAACAATGCACTAGCTATCTAGTTACATGTAGTCATGTTCACTTGCCTCTCTTGTCGTTGAGTAGGATATTCAAAGCGAACTTTTCAGCTTTAGTCAACGTGTCAGCCTGACGATCCTGGGTACTAGTAGTTTTGGGAAGAGGGCCGCCACCAAACACGGGAGGGAGTGGTTCTGCAATCACCATTTCCATATTGAGCCTTTGCCGCAGGACGGCCAATTCTCGTTCGAGCGCCTCGATTCTCGAATCCTTTTGTGCCACCAATCGCCTCAGAGCCTTGACTTCTTGCTGGTGAATCTCGTTATGACAGTCGTCGTCGACCATGAATGCCACTGGAATGTGGTTGCTGTTGGTCTGCATTCTTGTCGATTCCCTTATTGTTGGACGACCGTTATTATTATCCGAGCCCACTGCCACGGCTCCAGGAAGCAATTCCATGCCCCCCTCTACTTCTTCTTCTTCTTCTTCGCTGGCTGCCGACTCGGAAAAACTGTCAAGTTCTTGTTGAACTGTCTGCAAAATGGACGGTCGCATTCCAAACATGCTGGTACGTTTCAACGCCATGTCCACTTCGGAACGACGGAGACCGCGACGCACATGGGTAGAGAAATCCAAGGAACCTTTGCGTCCTGCAAAGAATCTTCGGAGACCTTTGGTGGGTTTTCTGGCGGGCATGGCAGTGGATTGCAAACTGGATCGCCTGTGGGTGAGTCTTATTTTGCTGGCGCCGTTTGCGGTGAGTGCGGAAGACGATGGATGAATTCCTCGTTTCGATGCTTCCCGATTGACAGAAGTGGTGCAAGCAGGTTCGGCTTTGGTTGGCTTCCGAGGACGAAGTTTAGGGTTTAGCTGATTGATGTTTGAGTTTGATGCCACTGATGGCGTTGATGTGTCACTCAACGAGTCCATGTGTGATGAAGTATCCTTCTTGGGTTCATTGTTTTCTTGATGTTGTGATCTTTCTTCTGTTTCTACCGCAGTTTCTACTTCCTTCAGGTCCAGCTGGTCTTCACTTGGCACTTCAGTCAAAGAGTGGTGTGAAGGATGATCTTTCTTGGGCTCTTCTTCACGTGAAGCAACCCTTTCTTGGCTTTCTTCTGCTGCATTGACAGAAGTGGAGCTACCTGTAGCAGATCCCGTTTCTGACCGGTTCGGAGGATGAAGTTTGGGGTTGAGCTTGCCTTCTTCGTCTTCAGAGTGTTTCGGAGGGGCCTTATCAATAATAGTTGGTGGTTTGACAAAGTGGCTGGAAGCTACCGAAGCCCCCTCCTCAGCTTCGATAAAACTGCAGGGGGGACGCTCTCCGGGTGGATCTCTGCATTGTTCACAGGCCATCGTTCCAGCGGGCTGGTTGCAGATGCCTTGTCTTCCTCTTGCCCCTTGGCTTGCTGTGTTTATTGTGATTCTGGCTGCAAGCTCTCCAGCTTCCAGCTTCTACCTACCAGCTAGCTATTATAGCAGAACTCTAAACCCCCTTTCTTTTTGTAAGTATCCGTGCTGGGACCAGTATCCTTTCGATGTACGTACCAGAATCTCGCTGTGAGAGTCGTGGGCGTCTGGGTGAGATAGACGGGAGCATTCATTGTTAAGCCTCTGGTTACCTGATGTGGAGAAAAGGAATTAAAAAAAACGGTGGAGCTGCTGGTCCAAGTCCCAGTGAGGTTTCGTGCTTGGTTGAAGGTTGCAGGTTGTAGGTCCCGGCACGTACCAGCACCACACCGTCGTCAGAAGAGCGAGAGCTCTAGAAGCAAAAAGGCTCACAAAACGACAAACTCAAAAGCAGTCAATCAATCAAACAACAAAGAAACAAAGAACTCTTTCATTATTTCAACCAATCATGAGCAGCAACAATAACACTACTGCAATCAGCACCGGAGCCCCAGTGGACAACCTAAAGAAACAAGAAGTCAAACAAGGCCACTCTTTCTTGGGTTGTCTCTGTGACATGAGGAGAGCTGTCATCATCCTTGACACTCTGGGCTTTTTTGGAAGTATCATTGGTCTTTTGGTTGTCATTCTCTATGACAAGTATGGAACAGAAGATGATAAGCAGCTTCTCATGCTTGAAAATTACGACTTTGGGGCGTTTGTTGCCATTTACAGTGCTGTCATTATCGCCCACTTCAGTGGTATCATGGGCGCCCTCACATTCACCATTTGCCCCATTTTGATCACCATTCTCATGAACATTGCATATGCAGTTCTTTCTGGCTTGAGCAAGAACTGGATTGGTCTTGGTGTCTATATCTTTTTGCTGTATCCACATGTCTTTTTGTGCCACGAGCTTGCCAAAGGTATCATGACCAAGGAAAACTACCGCAGCCAAGAACGTCAATCTTGTTGTTGTGTGTAGTAGGGTACCGGCGCAAACAAGCAGAGGGGATGGTTGTGAGTGACGAACTGTGTGCATGTCAAACTATTAGAAGTGGGACAATAATATAGTCTTTAGATAAAGTGTTAGATTCCGTGAACGCATGAGGAACCTATTACATGTTGAAAGACCGAGAACGAACTCTGCACTCAGTGCCATAAGCTGGCTGCCAACAAAAAACTACAAGAGGATCCTTGCAGTAGACTTTACGTAGCTAGATAAACCTGTGGGCTTTTGTTTGAAACGAGACTTGATTCGAATGATTCATCAGCAGCAATACGTCACAGTAGTTCTCTGCAGAACTACGAGGAGTCCCATTGAAAGCAACAAGGATGTACACAGAGTGCCGTATACGAAGCTTACATACATACATGTAGACTATTCAATGCTACCAATGGGTTGACTTTTCCCCGCAGGCCTTTGGATTTTGAGCGACTCGACTGTCGACTCTATACATGCACCAACCATCCGGTGCCTGGCTCAGGTATCCTTGCAAAGCACTCGATCACATGCGGTGTCATGAGCTAGTTCGGGGCGCCCCCGGCACAGAACCCAAAGAAAGATGAAACTAAAAAGCAACAATGGACTACCTCGATTTCGGGCGATTGCATGATCCGGATCAATCGCATGGACTTCTGTAGAATGTGCTTGTAAATGACGGTGCATCGGACCAGGGTATTCATCATGTGTGTGTACATCATGACATCTACGGCCAGCATGGCCTTGGCACCATCCAGCCAGCCAAGCGGTTTTGGCGAGCCTCGTTCAATGGTCTTATTTTTTTTTGCATCTTGGCAGCCAAAATGCGCTTTGGCTTGTAGTTGGATGCTTGTGCTTCATCGACATCGACAACCTCGGTAATGGTTGACACCATAAAGGGTCCTTCGTCCATGGCTGCCAGATGCAAGGTCTCTTTATCCACTGCAGCGTTGTTTCCGGAGGTCTCTGCATTGATTTCAATCGTTTCGTTCTCAACGTTGAGATATCGATACCCGCATGCACCAAGGGCATCTTTGCGCTTGTCAAAATAGCCCTGGACGGACTCCATCTGTCCTTCCAAAAAGGGTCTAGTCGTTCGTATATACTCCAGCAGTTCCTCTTGGGAGGCCAAAAAGGGGCCTCTGTCCGCCTTGACGTTCTTGTCGAGAAAGATCAAGAGCCAGTTTTCCATTAGAGTCAATTCGTGCAGTAGCTGACTGAGAATATCCCGAAAGAGAGGAATCGCCGTGGCAATCACGGTATTGTGGTTCCAGTATCCACCATCCCGATCCAATTGCGCGGCAAAGGCTCCCTCCACTTTTCCAATGTTCCCAGGTTTGTGAAGAAAATGGCGGTCGAGGACGTCATCGATAAAGTCAATCCTCCTGGGAATGGATTTCGCCACTCGCATGGCTTCATTGGTGGCCTTGGTTTCGTAGCGCTTCTCCGGTTCCTCCACGACCTTTTCAAGGGCTGCTAATCGCTTGGATCGTTCGTCTTTTTCTTCTTTTGTCATGATGTACCACCACAGTACAGTACTGATATATTACTGCCAATCGTTGTGTCAATCAATCAATCAATCAATCAAGAGGAATGATTCTATCGTTGACCAACGGATATTCATTTCTCGATTCTCGATGTGGTGGCATCAAAATCATGAGTGTCTGCACATGGCTGTCTGTGTAAAACTAAGCGCTTTGTTATTTGCGACTGTACTTCGACCGATAATTTGGGATCTCGATCCTAGCTAGCTGGTACTAGTAGACTGTAGCTTGTAGTACATGCAGTAGAGTGCCAGCGGTACGGTACCGTAGAGGACGACTGTACTTCCACCGTCAATGCCAAGAAATCTCAGGACAAACGTCGTCCCCCGGCCGGGCTCTTGGCAGGCGAAGAACGTTGAGTTTGTGGGCTGTGGTGACTTGGTCGAGAGGCAGACTCGACTCTTGGGAAGCGCTCGATAACACCTCGTCAAAGAGACAGACGAACAGATCCTTCGGTTGGGACCAACGAGATGCTGAATACTACGAGCACAAATGACCCAGCTGCACAACACGACATGAGAACGCAGTTCGAACGTAGATGAAACCATGTAAAATGCAGTATTCTAGAAGAGAAAGAAAGGTCCTGGCTAGCTGAATGTGGCCGTTTTGCAAAACAAAAAAGCAATCCCAAAGCTAGCGGTGCCATCATGCACCGTATCATGATCAGGGGGGGGGGGGGGTGCAAGACGGAGAATCGAATCATCACGATGGCTGCACATCAGTTGCCATTGAAAACGAATATCCCCTAATAGCCGGATGCAGCTTCCTTGTGACTTTATCTGCGCTTGTCGGAGCCTTATGCCATCGGATTAGCCCAGCCGACCGGAGCCTGATGCCATCGGATTGGCCCAGCCGACCGGCTAGCTAGGCATAGAACAACCCATTGTCGCGTCATGAGATTGCTTTACTAATAGCACAACAGCCAGCGGCTGTTCTTGCTAGAGCAATCGTATGAACCGCCAATCATGCCAATGACTCGCTCCGAGATGTAATGTATGAGCCACCCGAGACCGCACGTCCCGTGACAAGAATACTGTGAGCTGCAACGGCCCACGCTGACAGGGTTTTGGGCAGCCGACAAGGCTACGGAAGCAGGAATGCTGCACTGCAAGTCTTTCAGCACCCGGCAAGGCTCAAGTTCTCCGAAGCAAAACGGCACCGTCCGTCTAATCTCCGAAAACAGCACCGACAATCTAAGGATGCGGAAGAAATTCAACATCCCGCCAAAAGCGCCCCAAGCAATCCCGTTCGGAAAATTGTTGAGAAAAGCGGCGGCAAGCGACGGTCGTGCTCTGTTCAAAGTGGCCCTATTATTCCTATCGCTCACCCAAATTCATACAATGACTAACGAATCTGTAAACGACACGATGACATCTTCTTGAAAGACTCTATTCCTTGCAATGGTTGACAGGCTCAAGGTTTCAGATGAACTCCCTGTCATTTTTTATCTATGTGGGTCATGGAAGCCTTGCTGCCGGACTTTCGACTGCGCTGACTCTCGTCTGTGGACGATCGCGTGTACGGATTGCTCTCATCTGTGGACGATTTCTTGTATTGACTTGAGCTGCCCTTGCTGCCGGACTTTCGACTGCGGTGGTGACTCTCGTCTGTGGATGATCGCTTGTACTGATTGCTCTCATCTGTGCATGATCTCTTGTATTGACTTGAGTTGCCCTTGTTGCCGGACTTTCGACTGCGGTGGTGGCTCTCGTCTGCGGATGATCGCTTGTACTGATTGCTCTCATCCGTGGACGATCTCTTGTATTGACTGGAGTGTTGCCGACTGCTCCGCTGAGATGCACTGCAAGAACGTTTTGAAACACTGGGAGAACGATGGGAGTCCTTCTTCTTCCTCCTGCCTCTGGATTCCTCTTTAGCATCAGGAGAACCATTGAGGTCCTTCTGCTCGGAAGTCTTGTTGCTCTTCTCTCTAGTTGACTTTCTTGTTTTCTTCTTGGTGGAAGATGACGATCGAACCTTAACATTGGCTGGTTTAGGAGGAAGAGAACTGGACCGCTGCCCAGCAGATTCTACATGACAGGATTTCGCCAGCTGTTCCTCTTTTGCCAGAGGCTCTGAGGAGCGAGGGTGGTAGGAGCGTGTTTCTCCCGATGTATTTGATGGCACTGTTGGCTCAGAGGTTGCACGAGCCAAGAGCCCCTTCACAACGTGCATGCCGTGATCAACTGGCAAAGCAGCATTCAGTTGATTGGTCGGGTTCAACTTCCTTTGCATCTCCTTTGCCAATTCCAAGCTCTCTTCAAGCTTTGTTGGAGCTTCAGGGTTGCTGCCTTCTTCCAAGGACTGCTTTCCCAGGAGTTCCTTTGCCATGGGAACCAAGTCAGGCAAGGCCGCAGCATTGTCAATGTGATTTGGATTAAGCGTCTTCTCCAACTCTTTTTTCACTTCTAACGCCTTGGTAACACGAGACCACTGGACACTTCCACTCTCTGACTGATCATCATGCTCCTTAGACAATTGTTTTTTTAGTTTTCGTCGTTGCCTCTCTTTTTGATTGGTTGACTTTGGTTGACGTGATGACTTGTGCTTCTGCCTCCCCACTGATGAAGACCGTTGTTTAGCCTCGGTGTCGTTTGTCGCTTCATTCTCGTGTGATTTGACCAGTCGTTTAGACCCTTTTCGAGGCATGGATTTTGATCTTCTGCTGTGATCTCGATCATCCCCGTCGGATTCGGGCTCAACCTTTCTAGATGATCGAGCATGAACACTCTTAACATGCCTCGGTTGTTGCTCTGCCAAGAGCACCCCATGACTCCCATTTCGAGTGTTTGTCGTATTCTCCCTGGCTGATGCAGACGGCATACTCTTACAAGCGACTTCCTCAACCGATCTTGACGACGTTCGAACGTGAGTCCGGTCACTGGCACTCATTTTGCTGCGTTCGCGCCTCTTTGATGACCTTTTAGACGACCGATCCGCCATTTCGACTCTGTCTCCATGGTGCTGACGAGAGCTGGAATTGCGCATTTTGGAACTCCCTGATCGGATCTTGCTATGGGAATGTCGATCAGCAGCACCCTTGGATTTACCTTTATTCTCAACGAAGTTTCGAAACGAAGATGAGATCTTGTTGTCATTGTTGGAACTCTTTTTTACATCGGCGTCTCCAGGGAAAGTGAAACTACCACCCATTGCATCATCTTGGTGGCGACCACTGGTGATCTTTCTGGAACTACTGCTGTGTCGACTCTTGCTGTGTCGGCTGCGCTGACGAGAGCCCTTGTCAATGACTCGGGACGAGCGTGATTTGGTCGGAGATGGCGGCGGAAAGGAATTGGCTGAATTGTTGAGCTCTGCCTCATAAGTCAAACCATTTGGGATGCTACCAGTAGAGTATCTCACTACTTTGTTTTGGTTGGAGTTGCCCGCGTTCATCGTATCCATGAGACTAGTGGACCTGTTGTGCTTCAATTCATCTTGTCTTGATTGCGGTACCGGTAGAGCAGCAACTCCCGGGAAGTCGTTCAGTGCACTAGCGGATAGGTCAAAGTTTTTCATGTGGTGCGACTGAGGTCGTTGGCTGCTGCTATGAGTTGACCGACTGCGATCTGCGTGTACTAACCGTGACTCTGAGGTCTGCTGAACCATCATAGTTTCCCGCTTTGCTGCTGACACAGTCTCCTTTGCAGCCTGTGCATTTGCCAGCACAGAGTTCAAATGGTCTGGCTTGTTGAATTTGTCACTGCCAACAGTAATTTGTTCCGACCTATTAGTCTTTGTGGCGGTAGATACACGATGATGATTGTCGCTTCCAGCTGAAGCGCGCATACTGGATCCTCTCATGGGTGACATAGAACCTCTGTTTCCCCTTCGTTGCCGTCGTTCGGTATTTCGCCTTCGTGTTCGTTCCACAACCCCTTCGCTCTTGTTGTGCATTCGTGAACTGGCTCCAGTTCGACGCCGACTGGCGATGGGAGTGTCTCCATGTACGGCTTCTGTTGGTTCGGCTTCTTGTTCCAGCGTGGCCCGAGATCTCCCTCGACGAGCCGAATCCTCCCCAAAATAACCACTGGATGCTTGTAGATTCCAATTTGTCTCGTCTCCCACTAAGTCCCCTCCCTCATCTTCACCAGATTTGTGGAACATGCTTCGAACGCTGTTCTTCACATTGCGCACCATCCCCTTTTTCTTGGCACTCTTTCCTTGTTGTAATTGTGGCTGTGAGTCCGCTGCCTCAGAGGCCACTTTTCTAACTGCTGAATTGATGGCCTGCATTCGCATGTTGCGAGTCAAAACGATTTTGCTTGTGCTGACATGATGATCACTGGCGTGATGGTTGGGACTGTTTTCGGGCAAACCCTTGAATTCCTCTGAGGAGGTAGGTGCTGTGAATTCCCCACTGTAGCTCTTGTGCTTCCCCTTGCTGCTGGCGCCTCTCTTGAGCTGCTTCTGCTCATCCTTCCAACTCTTCGTCAGAGTGCCTATCAAACCATGGTTCGGTCGAGGATCATGCTCTCGATGTGAAGTCCTCATTGTCATCTTGTCACCTGCTAATATTAAGCTGCAGCAAAATCTAACCAAGCTTGATTGCTGCCAGCTTTACTAGTACCGGTAGGTGGCTGATTGTGAGAAAACAGCAACCCACACTACGGTAGCCAACTCCATTATCTGTGCTGCAAAGGTAGACTACCAGGTATCAACTCTCTGGCCTGGTGTTCGATTGGTTGGTACGAGATGCTTTGAAGGTCGTGCTGCATGCGGAGTAGACTACTAGTAAGCATGATGTGTCGTTGGCTGTGCTGTGAAACGTGATAAAGGCGGCCACTGAGATGATACCGATACCCTTTGATACCAAGAGAGATTGTTGGTGTGGAACTGGCACTATGCAGATAATTGGGTTTACGTGGTACTTTCAAGAGTAAGAGAAATGAAATGGCCTCTTTTGCGAAAACCACTGTCGCTCAGATTTAACAAAGTACCAGATGCCAGACGAAATGGTGCATATGTCTGGAAACTTTCAGTCGTTACATTCCCTTCGATACTCTTTCCGCCGACAATTACGATGAAATGTTACAGTCCGAAGCAGCATTAATTAACCAATTCCAAATAACTTATACAAATTCGTACTCTGACTGTTCGAACATTGTTCATCGTGTGTTTGAACTTCAATTACAGAAGTTGACGTATTCCTTGTTCCGTTTCCATGACAGTTACTTGGTATGTTAACGGTTTTTTTTTTTGGTGACGGCGCCTTACTGGTACCGGTACCCGGGCTACCGCGGTAGCGGTTTTTACGGTCGCGTTACCTTATGTGCACGCACACACCTTGTACAGACGTTTAAAAACGTTAAATACAAGTTTCGTACTTACAGATACACATAGACCGTTATTCTGCAAACTGAAGTGCGCGGTACACTATATTTAACACAGTAAACGCGAGCAATCGGTTTTTTTTTTATTTCTGGAGTGCAACTGAGGGGGAATCTAAAAGGAGCGTCGTCTCGAGGAGACGTAATTTGTGCTGGCGATGCGGGCGTGCTGACGTCGGCAGAACAATCCTTTAAATACAGTTCGCTCCGATTTGGGACTTTGAGCGCAACCTCGCCCTACAGGACACCGAGACGTGGGAAAGGAGCCAACTCACATGAGCTTCATTTTATTAATTAATTAAGTGAATGGGTTATTGTCCTTAAATCAAGTGCGAGCCGGCATTGCTAGTAATGATTCTACACAGCCTACGACAGTAATTGGCTCATCGCAGGACAAACACCGAGTTTAGTCGAATGAATCAACTCCGACTGGCGGCAGCTTTACTAATCAGCTGTAACTCGCATGGCGCACTCAAAAACAGCTCTCAAAACTCGTGCAAAGTGCTTTTTGTATGTATGTATCGGTGCAAAAAGAGCCAGTCAAGACTGAATATCAGCAGCTTTAATTCCCAGGGGAGCCATCAGAAGTGTTCCATAGATACATTCGGTCCTTCGGAAACCATTTAAATAAAGCCTTTAGCCATCAATGGTGAAACAATCTCGCGAACCTGTGGAAGGGAGATCAGAGCATTTAATTGGAAAAACCAAACTTCCAAACTTTTCTTTTCATAATTAACGAAGCTGTTGTCTGTTTCTCTTGGTTTCGTCAGCAGTATTACAGCCTAACAGCTGGACCATTATTTAGTTTTGGCCACGGCATCACGTATCACAGGTAC